TCACTGTAACTACGTGTCCGGGAAACACGCCTGCATATTCTACGATGAGGTGAGGGGTGGGGATGGGGTGGGAGGGTGCTCTCCCCACCTGAGGCCTCTCCTAGGCACTGGGGTTTTTTGTTCAGTGTCCTGGGTGAGGGGAAGGGGGGCGGGGAGGTCTTCTCCTCTTCTTCCCTCCCTGTCATTCCTGGAGAAGAGTCTCGGTGTGGAAGGGCGTCTTACCGCGGCTACTGCTCCCTGGGAGCAGGGCTGCCATTTCTCCTGAGATTGGCCACAGGCTCAGCAGGGGGAGCCCGCCTGAAAGCAGGGCAGGGGACCAGCATAGAAGGAAGCCAAGCCCTCTGTGCCAATGAATAGCATTTCAACAGGAGCCAGTGCCGAGGAGGCAGAGGATAGGAGCGGTGGGAGAGCAGGGGTGGGGGGTGGGGAGCACTGGGAAGGAAGGCTTCCCTGAGGAGGTGAGTCTTGAGCCCTGTTCTAAAGAGACAGGGAAGGAGCACCTGGGTGGCGCAGTCGTTAAGTGCCTGTCTTCGGCTCAGTTCATGCTCCCAGGATCCTGGGATTGAGCCCCGCATCGGGCTCCCTGCTTCTCCCTCTCCCACTCCCCCTGCTTGTGTTCCCTCTCTCACTGTGTCTCTCTCTGTCAAATAAATAAATAAAATCTTAGAGAGACAGGGAAGCGGGGCTTGACTGGGGAAGAAAGAGCGCTCCCCAGGTAGAGCAGCACAGCCTTCTCCATGTGTCCTCTCTCCCCTTAGCCCCAGGCCCCACGCAGCAGACCACACATCTTATCTTCCCTCCTCCTCCTCAGAATACCAAACATTATGAGCTGTTAAACTACAGTGAGCACGGGACAACGGTGGACAATGTGCTGTATTCCTGTGACTTCTCTGAGAAGACCCCGCCAACCCCCCCAAGCAGTATTGTTGCCAAAGTGCAGAGTGTCATCAGTAAGTTGGACCCTGTGGCCCCAAAGCCGGCCGCTTTTGGACACATTGTGTTAAGACCCCCGTCAGGGTGGCTCTGGCTTGCTGCCAATGACCGGCTCTCTTGCCTTTCCCGGTCCCGTTGGCCAAGCTCTCCTTGCTTGGGGGCCCAGGGAGAGCCACAGAAAAGCCAATGCTATGCGTGCGCCCACCTGCTTGGGGACTTCAGACTCCCCTGGTCCTTTCCCGGTGTCCCGCAGCCGTGGCAGACAGCGCCGGGTGGGTTGGCCGCTTCACTCTTCCTCTCCCGGTGACCACGCTCCTTCTTCCCAGGGCGCCGCCGGCACCAGAAGCAGGATGAAGAGCCAAGTGAGGAGGCAGCCATGATGAGCTCCCAGGCGCAGGGGCCACAGCGGAGACCCTGCAATTGCAAAGCCAGCAGCTCGAGCTTGATTGGGGGCAGTGGGGCCGGCTGGGAGGGCACGGCCTTGCTGCACCACGGCAGCTACATCAAGCTGGGGTGCCTGCAGTTTGTCTTCAGCATCACTGAGTTTGCGACCAAACAGCCCAAAGGCGATGCTGGCCTGCTGCAGGATGGGGTCTTGGCCGAGAAGCTGTCTCTCAAGCCCCACCAGGGCCCCGTGCTGCGCTCCAACTCCGTTCCCTAGGACTGGCGGCTGCCCCATCAGCCGCCTGTCTGCCCAACCCAAGACTCCTGCAATGCAAAAATGTACACAAACCAAGCCCGGGTTTTTTCTATACTCCACCAGAAACCCTTCAACTACAATCTTTGCATGAAATGAAGAAAACCTTTTGACTGTTTTTTAAAAATCCTTTTTCTTTTCTCAAGTTCTAGGGGGCATTTGCACATATATTTGTACTCAGCATTTCATGGGAAAGCGGCAGACCCGAGCCGAGGAGCAGCGAGGGCAGGGGGGGAAGGCCGATGGTCTGGACACTTCCTCCAACACGAAACCGTTCCCCACCCACCTCCTGCTCCCTCCCCCTCGCCCGCCGTTGTAAAATAATCAGAAACTTGTTCTATTTTGTGGCAGTGACAATAGTTTTATATTAAAAGAAAAAATACAGTTTTCATACAGCAAAATCTATACAATATCATTGTTTTATTTAATATAAAGATCGCTACCCACCCTACTTCCGTGGTTCCCACCCTCCAAGTTATTTTCCCTTTCTGCAGCGGTTGCACTACAGGTAGCTACTGTGTATTATGGACAAATGAGAAATGAATTCTTTTTCTGGCTGTCCATCTATTTTATTTCAAATAAGGAAAAGTGTATTTGGATTTTGTGTAAATACATCTAGTGATGACATTTTTTCAATGTTTTTAAGAACTGTACAGTACTACATGTGGTAGAGCGTTTTCTTCAAATTGTCTATTGTAGCAAAAAACGTTTTTGTCGTAAACCTGTTTCGTCTCCTTTTTTTGTTCTCTTGCCACTTCTCTCCTGTTCCTCCCACCCCTGGCTCCCTCCTCCCCTCCCCCCACCCCAAGTAGTACCGATGTACATAGTAATTGTAATGTTTTAGACTTTACAGAAACTTTCCTGTATTCTGTATATAAAAAAACAAAAATACTTCAAATTATGTTTTCTGCCTGTCTGTCCTACCTGTCATCACCCTTAGAGGGGACCCTCCCCAAGATCCTGGTCGCAGTCTCATCGAACTAGTCTCATTCCCAGACACTCAGTCCCTAGGGGAAGGCAGGAGAGCGGAGGTCTGGGAGAAAAGTGAGCCCAAGGTGGATGTGGGAAAGTGGAGGGCTAGGGGTGGGGGGGCTCTTGTCTGGCTTTATGGGTGACTTGAGGGAATCATTTGACGTGACCACATACTGCAAGAATCCGAGAGTGTGCAGGCCCTCGCTCTTCCCTGTTGACTCCCAAACCAAGATAATAAAACAGGAGCTGTCTTTGAGACCTCTGCATTCTGGTCTAGAAACTTGAACCTCAGGAGTTGGGGCTGCTTTTAGTTGCAGTTGTTTGCTATCATATTTGATTTATCAATCCTGGGAGAAGTCAACACCTGGCTCGCTCCTTCCACTGTCAGCCTGAGCGGGGCAGGCAGCAACTCCTGCAAGCATCACTTGAGTCCCTCCTCTGTGCGTGGCCTTTGCTGGGACTTTGGGCTTGGTCTACAGAACTTGCTGTGAGCAGTCAACTAGACAGATAGGACTCCTGCCTCTTGGAGCTTAGAATCTAGTGTGGAGCAGTCTGTCGATTGAAACGTCTCTGGGAAGCACCATGAAGAAAAAGGAGAGATCCGATCTGTAGACCAGTGGAGCCACAACTTACGTGACTAGCAATCCTAACTTCCCTACAACTGCAGCTCCTCATCAGAAGAGGAATCTACTGCATTACCTTAATTCTGAGGCCCTGAGAAGCCTCTCATTAAACCACACCCCCATCCTTTCCACCTCTCAGACCTGACATGAGAAACTTGCTCTGGGAAGTTTTTCCTGAAGACAAGTCTTCGACTCCTTAGATAGAGATCACCTGTGTGTCTATCCCAGCAGTGTTCGAGGACATGGTACCTGTTGGCATGTCGGGAATTTGCCTTGAGGATGGAGAATGCACCCATTTGTTTCATTAATATTCCATTCCCAGCTTCATCCCACGGCATCTACAACTGAACCCCAAACCCATGGTGCAGCCAAGTAGGAAACTTCTCCCCTCCCTGAATCAGGTCTGTCTCTAGCTTCCACCTCCCGCCTGGCTTTATCTCCACCACTCTGCTCCCCCTGCCCTAATGGGCAGGAACATAACATTGTTCTGCTCAGTATTTCCACGGCTAACCACACTGCTGGGCACACCTAAGTGTCAAACAGTGGGTGCTCAGTTGTAAAGGTTTTCTCAGGCAAGTCCTTGTCCTGGCAAGTCGCCTGGCCAGCAGTCCCCTTACCCGTGCCTCCCTAGCTGTACCCACCCACCTTGCCATCATAGTCACTTCTTCCACTGAGTCATGGAGCTTCTTTACCTGTTTCTACCACCTGTGAGGACCATCCCAGAGAAATTTCCTCCTGGAAGTCAGGTAACAGATTTTGTATAATTTATTCTCTTCCTGCTTCCCTTCGGAAATGTAGGGGATGGGGGGGTGGGGGACGAGCAAACACAGGGAGATAGAGACAGCTAATGAATGAGTGAATCCTAACAGCCCTGAACGGATGGTGCCACCCTGACCGCTGCGTCATCTCTCTGACCCTTGTAGGAAGAACAAGGAAGAATTCTAGAAGCTGAGGGCTGGAAGTGAGGATAAGGAATCGAAGGACTTGTTTATGGGGGGCAAGGCATCCAGGACCGGACTCACTCTCTCTCTCAGACATAACACCATTCCTGTACATGCACCTCTCCAGAAAGGAAGGACTCTGCTAAGCACCGATGACACCCAGAGGGCTCACACACACCCTGTGAGCCCTTCCTGCGAGTCCTAAGCTACGGGGCATGCGCACAAAGGACAGCGACATAGGGAGATGTTCGTTCGAGCGCACACATTGACAGAGACCACTGATGCATGCACACACCTGGAGGGGCTCTTGGCACACATAGGCACAAACCTGTAAAAGGTGGTCACGCAGGCACCCACACCTACAGGGTACTTCCTGGGCCTACAAGTACACACACACCTCCAAGCTGCTCACACACAGGCTCCAGAGGCACACAAACAACCTGAAGGGCAATCCCAGGGCCCATGGACACATTACCCAGAGTCATTCACACACTCAGAGTAGGTGTGAATGCACACAAACACGCATCTGGAAGGAGTTCACGCAGGCACACACCTAGAGGGCGCTGCCAGGGCCCAAATGCACACGCGCACCTAGAAGGTATTCCACAAGCACACACCCAGAGGACCCAGACGCATGCCTAGGGGGCGCTCGCAGGGCCCACGCTCACACGCACGCACACACACCCCTGCCCTGCCTCTCGCCCGCCTCCGCCTCCGCCTCCGCCTCCGCCTTCAGGGAGGCCCGAGCGGGTGCGGGGCTGATCAGCAGCCGCCGGGCGGGCGGCGATCCAGGGAGGTGCGGGGCCCGTGCGGGGGCCCGGCGGCGCGGCCGGCATGGAGGCGCTGCTGCTGGGCGCGGGGTTGCTGCTGGGGGCCTACGTGCTTGTCTATTACAACCTGGTGAAGGCCCCGCCCTGCGGCGGCATAGCCAGCCTGCGCGGCCGCACGGCCGTGGTCACCGGTGAGTGCCAGAGGCCCAGCGGGCGGCGGGGTGGCGGGGAGGCCGGGCGGCGGGGTCAGCGGCCCACGGGGCTCAGCGCGGCTACCGCCCGCCCACCGCAGGCGCCAACAGCGGCATCGGGAAGATGACGGCGCTGGAGCTGGCGCGCCGGGGAGCGCGCGTGGTGCTGGCCTGTCGGAGCCGGGAGCGCGGTGAGGCGGCCGCCTTCGACCTCCGCCAGGTGAGGTGGGGGGAGGCCGGAGACGGTGAGAGGGTGCGCGGAAAACAGACACCCCGGGACACAGAGGGGCGAACAGAGCGGCTTCCTTAATTGGGCGTTAAGCGCAGAAGAGAGGGTCCGCGGGTGCTCTGGCCATACAGGGAAGGGGCACCAGACGCAAGGTAGGACATGGCCTTTCCAAAAGAAGTGACCGTTGTTCTAAGACGTTTAAGGATCGGTAAAACTTACATTAATGAAAGACGGTAGGAAAGGGAACAGCAGAGGGAACAGCATATGCAAAGGCTCTGAGGCAAGACAGCTGAATCGATTTTTTTTTTTTAAGATTTTATTTATTTATTCATGAGAGAGAGAGAGAGAAGCAGGCTCCCAAGCATCAGGGAGCCTGATGCGGGACTCGATCCCAGAACCCCGGGATCCTGACCTGAGCCGAAGGCAGACGCTTAACCATCTGAGCCACCCAGGCGCCCTGAATCGATTTTAAAAAAGAAAAACTGAAAGCAAAGGTTTATTGAGGCTGGATGGCGCACAAAATATGGGGTAAAGAGGCAAAATGAAGAGGCTGGAAGCTCTGAACCAGGGCTAGATTCTGGAGGCCCTTATAGATAGACCCTATTGAGGAACTCAGATTTTATAGGATGAGCAGTGGAGGTCCCATGAAGGGTCCTCAGCAGGGTGTGGACTGTCAGAATAGCCTTCTGGGAGGAACCCTCAATGGCTGTACATGCCTGGACTGGAGGTGGGGGGTGGGGGTAAGAGTGGGTGAGGAGAGACCAATGAGAAAGAAGTCTGTTGTAGATTTTAGGATAAGCAAAAATGGGCAGAGGGAATGATAATCATAATAGCAAGTACTACCTACACAGTGCTGACTGGGTGCCAGGCACTGTTCTAAGTATTTTACATATATTAACTCACTGAATCCTCACAACAACTCCATGAGATAGGCATTACATTGTTCCCATTTTACAGGGAGAAAACTGAGCCCCAGAGAGAGTAATGTCACAATTGTCTAACGTCACACTCTAATAAAAGACAAAGTCGAGATTTGCATCCAGAGTCCACATGCTTGTCCACTACATTCTAATGCGCAGGGGCAGATCTTAGTAAAAGTAGGAGAGGGACTCTCAAAACTTGGTACCTGGGGAGAGGGAAGAGGAGAGAGGTGCCTGGTGACAAGCCCAGCCCTTGCTGCCCCACAGGAGAGTGGGAACAATGAGGTCATCTTCATGGCCTTGGACTTGGCCAGTCTGGCCTCCGTTCGGGCCTTTGCTACTGCCTTCCTGAGCTCTGAGCCACGGCTGGACATCCTCATCCACAATGCCGGTGAGGGGCAGCAGGCCCTGCAGGGGGGGTGGCGGGTGGGCAACTGTCCCCTCCAGCCAGGTCTTGCCAAGGGCCAGTGGATGCGTGGGAAGGATGCCCCCTACCACTCTCTCCCAGATGGGGACACCGAGGCCTTCGGGGATCCCTGTGGAGCAGTTGCTCATATCGAGCCCCTGCCCCAGGGATCAGTTCCTGTGGCCGGACCCACAAGCCGTTTAACCTGCTGCTGCGAGTGAACCACATTGGCCCCTTCCTGCTGACACACCTGCTGCTGCCCCGGCTGAAGACCTGCGCCCCTAGCCGCGTGGTGGTGGTATCCTCAGCCGCCCACCGGCGAGGGCGCCTCGACTTCACACGCCTGGATCGGCCGGTGGTGGGCTGGCGGCAGGAGCTACGGGCATATGCCGACAGTAAGCTGGCCAACGTGTTGTTTGCCAGGGAGCTCGCCACTCAGCTTGAGGGTACCGGTGTCACCTGCTATGCAGCCCACCCAGGTGAGGCCTGGCTCTCTGCTCTGCTTTGCTTTGAGTCCCCCGCTCCCATCCGCAACCCATTCTGTGCACCCCCAGCCTCTCATTGAGCCCCAGAATCGCAGAACAGGAAGGAAGCACCGTACAAGGAGAAAACTGTTCCTTGCTGATCTTGGAAGGAGGCTCTCCTTGTCTACGTTCTTCCTCTCACACCACTAGCCTGGATGCTGACTACTGGATAGGGTATGGTAATGAATAAAGCCCGGGTTCTCCCCCCAGGGAGCCATCCATATGACTGAACTCACTATGATATGAGGATAATGATGATGATGGCTAATAATTACTTATTCATTCGAAAAGCATTTACTGAGTACCTATTATGTACCAGGCATTAATCTTGGTGCTGGGAATATAGCAGTGAACAAAACAAAGACCCTTTCCTTGTAGAATTTACATTCTAGTTTAAGGGAAGGGGAGATTGCTAATAAATATATACAGTGACAGATGGCGATAAAATGCTATGGGAAAGATAAAGCAGAGTGAGGGGGCTTGAAATGACAGGAGGTGCTGTTTTTCTGTGGCAGTCAAGGAAGGCGTATCTGAACAGGTGACATAGGCCTGAAGGAGATGAGAGAATGAGCCATGTGGTTTTCTGGGGAGAAGAGTGTAAAGAACAGAGCAGAGAGCAAGTGCAGAGGCCCTGAGGCAGAAGTCCCTGGTATGCTAGAGAAAGAACAGGGAGCCCCACAAGGCTGGAACAGAGTGAGAGAAGGAGAGTGGCAAGAGATGAGGTACAGAGATGGGCTGGGTCATCTAGGGTCTAGAGGTCCACTGTAAGCATTTTAGCTTTTAGTCTGAGTGAGTTAACTGATGAATAAGGCCCATCTCTGCCTTCTGGAACAGATTATAGGATAATAAGATCTGTCCTACCCTTATTACCATACTGCATTTTTTTAAGATTTTATTTTTAAGTAATCTTTACACCCAGCGTGGGGCTCAAACTCACAACCTGGAGATTGAGAGTCATATACACCAACGACCAAGCCAGACGCCCACCATACTGCACTTTAGATAGTCATTGCCTAAGGCTCACTAGTAATTATAACAGTGACAGTAATAACAGACAATAATAATAATAATAATTATAAACTAGCATTTATAAGCCTTTATTACACTCCCCATCTCTAATGTCCAAAACAGTGGCTGGGCTACCGTAGGCGTTAATACATGTTTGCTGGTTGAACAAAGGAATAGGACTTGAGCTGGAAGAAAAGAGGTCCCCTCAGGCAGGGGATGCAACATGAGGGAAAATCTGGGACATGGGGATGTACAGGAGCTCAGATGGAGGAGGAGGCTTGCTGTTGAAATGAGTGAGGTCTCCTTGTGGGGACCCTGAATGCCCACTCAATACTGTCCTGGTCTGTCTGGAACTGGACTCTGTTCCCCACTCCCTCCTAGCCCTGTGTTGTTGCTCTGCCCCTGGGCCCTTGCCCACCATCCACACTCCTTCCTTTCTTCCTGTCCACAGGGCCTGTGAACTCGGAGCTGTTCCTGCGCCACGTTCCTGGATGGCTGTGCCCACTTTTGCGCCCACTAGCTTGGCTTGTGCTGCGGGCCCCAAGAGGGGGTGCCCAGACACCCCTGTACTGCGCTTTACAGGAGGGCATTGAGCCCTTCAGTGGGAGATATTTTGCCAACTGCCACGTGGAGGAGGTGCCCCCAGCTGCCCGAGATGACCGTGCAGCCCACCGGCTGTGGGAGGCCAGCAAAAGGCTGGCAGGGCTTGGGCCCAGTGAGGAGGCCGAACCTGATGAAGATCCCCAGCCTGAGGACCCAGGGGCCCCATCTTCCCCGAGCAGCCCCCACCCTGAGGAGCTCACAGTTTCTGAACCCCACCCCAGCCCTCAGAGTTCACCAGACTTGTCTAAGGTCACACACCGAATTCACGTTAAAACTGAACCCGAGCCCTAAATCTCTTAATCCAGGCTGGGATGCTTTCCATGGCACTCGGTGGCCCTTGAAAACCTTAACTGCATGCCAGGCCATGCCCTGGGCACTGAAGGGTTTGCAATTTTTACCTCCATGGTTCCTTTCTGGGGCTTCAAATTGTGTTCTGAACAGCTCTTTTCCTGGTGGAAGGAAATCGTGGGTAATGATTTCTTCCTGAGAATAACAATAATCCCAGACTGAGAGGTGAGGGATAATGTGCCAGACATTGCTTCTGAGGAATTTGAATTCTGTACCTCCAGTCCCCACTCTGGGTGATGCTGATCCGCTAGGCTCTGGATGAGGGCCTGGGGGCGGCGGGGTGTAATTTGTAATTACAGTGCAACACTGAAAATTACTGAACTGGGCCCTTTGCAACCATGTAGCCACGTGGTTAAACGACCCCCATCCGCCGAGGCGGGATTAGGTTGCAGAGGTAAGGGACTCACTCAGCCAAGGTCTCACCGCCAATAAGGGGGTAAGGGCAGGATCGGTGTGACTCCAGGGCCGACGGCGGTCAGGTGGCTGCGGGGAGAGGTGCGGCAGGGCCGCGGGAGCCGGGGGCGCCCCCCCGCCCCGGGGGTGCTGCGGGGCTGGGCCCGGGGAAATAAAGCGTGTTGACTGCCTCGCCTCGCGCTCGCGGCCGCCGCTGTCGCCCGCCGGGCCCCGCCCTCCGCCGCCACACTTCCGGCGGGGCTGCGAGCGCGGAGGGGCGCGGGCGGGCGGCCGGCCGCTGGGGGTGGCGGGATAGGCTGGGCGCGGCCGCTGGTGCGCGCGGTGCGGTCCAGGTCCCTGCGGTGCCCGCGGGCCCTCCGTCCCGCCGGCACCATGGGCAATTGTCACACGGTGGGGCCCAACGAGGCGCTGGTGGTCTCAGGTGAGAGGGCGGCGAGGGAGGTGGGGCTGGGGCTCCGGGGCTGGGAGGGTGTTGGGGTGCGCGGGCTCTGCCCGCGAAGGGTGGTTGGGGAGGGGGCTCGGGATGGGTGCGGGGCTTGGGGAGCGAGCGGGGACGAGCTAGGCCGGGGAAGGAGGGTGGAGGGCGGTGTGGAGGGTGAGGGACGGGGTAGGGGGCGCCGGTGTTGGGCCTGAGAACCTCCTAGGAAGGCCCCCCATTCTTACGCTTGCGGTGCTCCGCGCGCTCGGGACTCCCCCTCCCACTGCGTGTTTTCCCGTGTTTATTCTCTCCTTTCTCCGCCCCCTTCCCTGGGCACGGTCTCCTCTCCTCTACTCCACGGTGGCCTAGGGGGTCCCGAACTGAGGCCGTAGGGAGGGGACCCGTGGTTACTGGAACACAGCGGTTTGGCTGGATTCCAGCGCCCGGGCCTTGGGGCGGGTTTCGCAGCTTTGGAGGGCAGGTGCCTGCCTGGGGAGGGGCCCTGGTACAGGGATCCCTGTGCTCCCGTTAATTCTGAGCGGGTTGGGGCTTGCTGGGGTTTACTGGCACTGCCCGCCCCGGAGGTGCGGGTGCGGCCTCTACAGGTTGAGAAATCGGGCTCTGGGCTGTGTCGCCCCATTGCAAAAATGCTACAGGCTCCAGAATTTCTGGGAGCTTCGGCGGGGCCCGGGGACTGCTGTGCTGGGGAGGGAAGAGGTACCTTTGCCTTAAGGCTGCTTTTGTATATTCGGGTATCTCGAGAGGTGGCTGAAGCCTTTGAAGCCCCCAGTTTGTGAAGCCCCTGGCTCACAGGTGCCGGGGAGGGTGGTGTTTCCTGACAGCTTGGAGGCCTGCAGCTGCGGGAATCCTTCAGGTCTTCCCACTGTCGATGCCAATTTCCAGCCTGTGTGCAGAGTTGTTAGGGCTGCCTGTAGAAGGGGGTACTCTAGACCAGGGTTTGTAGCTGCGCCTGGGGTAGGTGTGATCAATCCATTGGAAACTTTTAACCCAGAACACGGCCTGTGGCTGAGTTTGGATCTCAGAATCAGTGTCTCCCCCCGGGACAGGAAATCCCCACTCTCCCTGACCCGGGGCGGGGAAGCAGTTAAGACCAGAGGTGGCCTTGGGATTAGGAAGGAGACCCCTCAGAGAGCACTGAGGCCAGACTTGGACCTGTCTCCCAGGCCCTGATCCTAAAGACAACTTTTAGAACCCGAATCTGCACCACACTTTGTCTCTCTTGTGGAGTTTCTTTCTGGAACCCAAGACTCTGGGCTGAGGAGACAAAAGCTCCAATCCAGTCCCTGTGGAGAGCTTTGAGACAGGGCTGAGAGGAGCACCTGACCCTTGCTGGAAACCTGGTTTTCTGGCCAGAGGCCAGGGCAGTGCTAGCTTCAAAGCTGTCTTAGGGGTGGGGAGAGGAGACTGTGCTGAGAATGGAGGGTGCTGGAGTCAAGGAAGGATGGGAGGGAAGTGGGAGGGGTAGTGCCCAGCATCACAGTACCTGGGGATTTGAGGTGGTCCAGCAGAGATGCAGCTCCCTCCGGCACGGAAGTCCCCGCAGAGCGGAGCAACCACTCCCAGCCCTGACCCCACCTGGTTCCTTAAGCGGGCGTCCAAGTCCAGAGGCATCTCGTTCGGCCCAATTTGAAAAGGATGCTGATGCATCTCCTGGTCACTTTCTCCACCTGAAAAGGCCAGAAGTTTTTCTGGTTGTCTTACCTCCCTCCTTCGGTCTGTAATATAACACCCTTTTCTCTATTTCTACTGTCGGGAACTTAGAAGGGGAATCCAAACACTATATACCTTTCTCTGGTCTCTATAGTAAGTCAGAGGTTCTTAACCTGGGGTTTGTAGGTAGAATTTAGAGCTCTGTGCATTTGGATAGGGAGAGACGTGAATTTTTATTCTCACTAACCTTAATCGGAATTTAGCATTTCTTCGCATTATAAATGTCAGCCACAACCCGTGATAGTATTAGGAGATATTTTCCTACCACACCGCAGTTTTTGTAGGTACCTTCAAAATCATTCATGCTCATTATGACTTTGAAGTTAAGCTAATTATTAAATCTACCACTAGATTTTATTATTTAATGTTTTACTGTATCACACGTATTACCAAGTATTACATATCACACATTTGGTTATTTTAATATCCTGACAACTTTCAAGATAATTTGTTTCCTATGTATTTTATGCATTTATGAACATTCCAGCATTGCTGGACTACTAAGGGGGGTTGTGGCTCAAAAAAGGCTAAACCCCCCTGTACAGTCTGGTCTTCTGGAGGAATGGGAAGAAGGGAGAAAAGATCCAGGAAGGAAGGGAAGTATTCCTGAGAAGGCAGAGGGATGGGCTGGGTCTGGAGGGGCTGAGAGCGGGGCAGAGGTTATCATGGGATGTTTTGTGATTCTCTCTCTTTTTTTTTTTTTTAAGATTTCATTTATTTATTTGAGAGAGAGAGCATGAGGGGAGGGGCAGAGGCAGAGGCAGACTCCCCACTAAGCAGGGAGCCCAATATGGGACTTGATCCCAGGACCCTGGGATCATGACCTGGGCCAAAGGTAGACGCTTAACCGACTGAGCCACCCAGGCGCCCGTGTTTTGTGATTCTTCAGCTTGGGTGAAGACAGGGCAAAGGAAAGTAAGTTGGGTTAGAAAAAGTGAGATAAAACTACGAGAAACTTCCAGGTCTAAAGAGAGTGAGAGGGGCACCTGGGTGGCTCAGTCGGTTGGGTGTCTGTCTTCAGCTCAAGTCATGATCCCAGGGTCCCAGGATCAAGTCCCGCTTCAGGCTCCCTGCTCAGCGGGGAGCCTGCTTTTCCCTCTCCCTCTGCTTGCCACTCCCCCTGCTTGTGCTCTCTGTCAAATAAATAAAGTCTTTAAAAATTAAAAAATAAAATAAAAATAAAGAGAGTGAGAGCAAGGGAGATCAAGGAAGGGGCACCTACGTGGTCTCTTTGGGGAGTGGTGCTCAGACTCAGGGTGACCAAGAATCTGGGAGGAAGTTGCCTTCCAGGGGAGGAGGCTGCCGGGGGCGGGGCAGGCTGGAAGGCTCAGCTTCCTGTTGTTGCTACTCCTGGGAAACTGGCCATGTTGCCCTTGGCCAAGGCCCAGCTTAAGTGGTGACAGCCTGCTCCCAAGGTCAAAGACTAAGTTAAGGGTAAAGCGTGGACCCCCCTGCCCTTCCCCTACCCTCATCCCTCTCCACCACTACCACCTCCACCCCCAGCACACGGAGAAGCGCCCTGGAGTGGGCCAGAGGCAGCTGGCCCCCAGCCCTCACTGGGCTGGACTGAAACAGGCTGTGATGTGTGACCCTCTCAGTTTCTCTGGACCCCAAGATGGCTTAGGTTTCAGCTTCACTGCTTGCCCTTAGAGGCCTCCTCACCCCACTCCCCAGGGCCGAGAAGCCTGCAATAGCTTCCCTTAAGCAGCAGCCCTGTGGGTTGGTATTTCCACCACAGAAGTGGACAGAGCTCCTCGTCCCACCCCCAACTCATAGTGCGGGGCTGCTCTTTGCTCCCTGGACTTCTGGTGAGGCTCCTTGTGCACCGTGCGGGCCCTGGAGGCAGAGAGGGCTGCCCAGCAAGCCGGCTCAGATGCCAGCTCTCTGTGCCAACAGGCGCTCTGCACCCCCTTCGCCTCCACCTGTCCAGAACTCGTCTCCAGCTCCCTAGTCTCTCTGTTGTCTCTCTTTCCCTTGTTTGGCTTCCCCACCCACTCCGACCTGGACTCCAGAGCTGCACCGATATGGTAACCACTAGCCCCTTAAATTTAAGTTCATTAAATTAGAAATTTAGTTCTTGGGCGCCTGGGTGGCTCAGTCGGTTGGGCGTCCACCTGAGGCTTGGGTCGTATCCTGGGGTCCCGGGATGGGCCCCATGTCGGGCTTCCTACTTGGCGGGAAGCCTGCTTCTCCCTCTCACTCTGCTCCCCCCGCCCCCGCTCGTGCTCTCGCCAATAAAGAAATAATATCTTTTATTTTTTTTTAAGATTTTATTTATTTATTTGACAGAGAGAGACACAGCGAGAGAGGGAACACAAGCAGCGGGAGCGGGAGAGGGAGAAGCAGGCTTCCCGCTGAGCAGGGAGCCTGACGCGGGGCTCGATCCCAGGACCCTGGGACCATGACCTGAGCCGAAGGCAGACGCTTAACGACTGAGCC